GCAAGCCGAGCCCCGCGCGCCTCTAGGGGAAGCCCAGCACAGCGCGCACAGCGCCCACAGCGCCAGCGGCGCCCAACCCCGGGCAGCAGGCATCCTTCGGGAGCGGGGAGCGGAGCAGGGCGAGACGGGCGTCCGGAGCGCGGGAAAGAGCAGCCGCCTGAGAGGGACGACAACTCCGGCAGTGGCGGGAGAGGCAAAAAGGAGCCGAGAAGCCGCCCTCCCCACGGCCACGCCTCCGCACCGCCCGCTTGCTGGCTCGCTGGCTCCCTTGGGGAGCTTGCTTGCCGTTCTGGAAGGAGTGCTAATCTTCTGAAGGGCACCGCTTCCTGAGGCACCGGGCAGCGAGGCAAAAAAGCCCTCCCCCCCGTCCTTAGCATGTCGGGAGTGGGCAGACTTCAGGCTCTGTGGAGGGTATTTTCGCGGAGCTTGGAGCCAAGAGTAACGCGGGCAAAGGGATTCTGGGAGTTGTAGTCCAAAAAAAAGAACTTTCCCCAGCTCTGTGCTTTGCTTTTGCTTTTAATCCCACCCCACCCCCCTCAGTCACAGGTCTCAAGTGAATCGCTGTGAAGTGGGAGTTACAGCACCAACAACTGAAGAGAAACAGAAAGAGAGCAGGGATGGATTTAAAACAGGTGGTCCGCAGAGAAGTACAGAACTTCGAAACGTTACTTTTTTTGGAGGGCGGCTTCCGGAATCCCTCCCGCAATAATGTTGGTTTGGAGGCTCTGGGGAGTTCAAAACAGTGACATTCCTGAGCTCTGAAGGTGTGTCCGCTGAACATACACAGCTGTCTGTGTGGCCAAATGTTTAGGGTTGACCAGGGGCTTAAAAGATTTCTTCCTCTCTTTCTTTCTTTCCTCATTGGAAGGATTCTGGGATTGTAGGACTAGTTTCTGGGGCTGATGCCAAATTGTACTGCGCTGAAAAACTGGCCACACAAAACCCCTTATACAGATTTAGGCTCAAAATGAACAGTTGCATCAGGCAAATATATTACAACATATTGGGATATTTGTCTTGTAAAATAGTGCACATATATATCCAATTTGCCACATCTTTTCAAATTAAAGCACCTTTAGTTATGTGCAGCTCTTCGGGAATGTTATTTGTCCTCATTTTCCTCAGAAATGAAGCAAAAAGCAGACAAAGAAAAGGAGCGCACATCCATTTAACAGTCTCCCAGTCCTGTTGTTTCACAAAGTCACCTCTCAGTCTGGGTTAAATTAGTTGGTGTTTCTAGTTTTTTCCCCCCTTCCTCTGCAGCAACATCCAGCTGGGCTTTCTTGGTATATTCCTATATGTTAACTCCGGAAGAAAAGGAAGCAAGTATTTGTAAGCCTCTTAATTCACATTGATGTGGCATTATTCTGATGTGTCAGTTGTGCCCTAGGACCAAATAACTTTTGTTGCTGGTACTGCGGCAGGATGCTAGCTCATATACACTGTTCACATGGTGTTTCCCCCCCTCCCTTCCATGTTCATTGGTGATTGTTCATGATTTAGTCCCCAAAAACTTAGCCCCCATCCCCACTGTCTCTGCAAAGGAAATCTTAGAGAAGGAAGAGTGTATATTCTGGTTCCAGCGGCTGTGAACCATCTCCTCCACTGTCAGGAAGAGCCCAAGATATTTTGCTGGACAAAGGACTCCCCAAAAACTTAGCCCCCATCCCCACTGTCTCTGCAAAGGAAATCTTAGAGAAGGAAGAGTGTATATTCTGGTTCCAGCGGCTGTGAACCATCTCCTCCACTGTCAGGAAGAGCCCAAGATATTTTGCTGCCTGAGACAAAGGACAAGACGTTGCCCGTCTTAATTTGACATGCAGTAGCAGAAAGGACCATTTAATCTTATTACAATGCTGGCAATGGGAGATGGCCTCTTATTACCCGTAAGAGTAGCATTGCTATCCCCAGCATCTACTGCTTGAGGGAGTTGCTTCACTCTGCCCAGTGCTAAGCCCAGCTGTGACCACTTTTGGTGTAGTGGTAATGGAATCTTTTTCTCCTGAGATCAGCACACCGGAGGGCATAGGTGTGTAGACAAGGTAGCAAAGGTAAAATTAACTAGATGTTTTCCCAAATGTTTAGGAAGTCCTGGGAAATGGGTGAAACTTTCAAGCTGCAACTTGCAGCTGAGAACTGAATAAAGCTTTCTTTCTTTCTTTGCTGCTGTTGCTGTTAGGAAAAAACAGTGATCCACAAGGGAGAAAAGCTGTTGCTGTTGGCAAGGAAGTTTAAAACATATTTTAAACCAATACTTTTTTAAAAAAGAAAACCAATACTTTTTTTAAAAAAACTTTTAAAATAAAAGAGAGGTCACAGTACAGAAACCCTAGGAGCCACAGAATTTTAAAAAAACTTTCTAGCAGGGGCTAAAAATGCTACAACTACACCCTGCAAGACCCATCAGAGCACAGAAATATAACTCCTCCCTCCAGCCCAAACCCACGCTGCAAAAACCCTGTAATACAGTACTTACCCAGAATAGGCAGTCTCTCTGTTTTAAAAAAGAAAGTCAAAAAGCAAAAATTTTAAAAACCAAAAATGCCCCCCCCCAAAATACAGTACAGTACTGTACCAGGCAGTACCAGGCAGTCCGAAGTCTCTCTCCGAACCCATACTCTCTAAACGCTGGGCCGAAAGAGCTACAGAGAAGCAGCCTTTTTGCTGACCAATGGTTAACTGAAAGCAGTTCAAATTTCCCGCTTTCCCCACCTTTTTTCCCGTTCTTAACTCGAAGCTCCGGTCGCAAGTTGAAGCAAAATTTTGTGGCCGGAGCTGGTCGTAACTCAAAATGGTCGTAAGTTGGGACGTTCGTAAGTCAAGGCACCATTACTATGTTCTTTGATGATTCTGTGAAACTACTCTGACATCCTCTTCTTTGTAACTGACACCACTCCATACATGACTAAGGCAGCCAAGGGACTTAAACTTCTTTATCCAAAAATGATCATATCACATGCCTTGCACATGGTTTGCACAGAGTGGACAAAGAGTTTGTAGCAACTATCCTGATGTAGATAAGATAATTTAAAATGAAAAAATTGATAGTTAAAGCTCCACTTCAAGTACAAATGTTCAAAGAAATTGCTCCTACTTTGGCTCTCCCTTTCTAATGTTTTGATGTGTTGGGGGACTATGTATTATTCCATAAATTATGATTCCTTGCAGCCGATAGTTAAAGAATTTAATTGCTGTGAATGTTCCTCCATCAAAATTGTGCAAGATTCTTTTTCTGAAACCTTGGCTGAAAATTTGGCATATATAAAATCTAACTTCAGTAGATTATCAAGAGCAATCACTCACCTTTAAACTATAGGAAAGGAACTTGGTGATGTACTGAAAATTGTGAAACAAACTGAGGGTGATTTAAAGTGAGCAAAGGGGAAAGTTACTGAAAAAATTAGTGATTAAACTGCAATGAGTGCAACAATCTAATCTGTGTTATTCAACACTGTAAATTAAGGAACATTCTAATTGGACTTGAAGCAAAATTTGATGACTTTAAGCCAGAATTTTCCCCAGATGAGTTGGCTTTTTCTGAATTTGTTCCTATAACGTCCTGTTATGTCAAACTGAGTTTCATCAGATACAAGAACATACTGGTGGACAACAGAAGGAATTCTGAGTGATAACCTCAAGGTGCATGTGATAATCCAATGAAATTCTGTTGTTGAAAAAAAACTGGTTCACATATGACCATTTAACTCTCAAAATATTCATTTGATTCCTTCAATCCTAGCACTTCTGAACTGGAAGTGAAGACATTTGATTCCTTCAATACTAGCACTTCTGAACTGGAAGTGAGAATAAACTTTTTAATTTTTTGTGTATATAAGCAGAGATTTTTTTAAAAACTGTCTGCTACTTTCAGAAAAACGGAAGTGAAGAATAAACCTTTTAATTTTTTTGTGTATATAAGCAGACATTTTTTAAAAAATTGTCTGCTACTTTCAGAAAAAATATAAAGTCACATTTTTGGTTTAATTGGTCATATTTAAACAATTTTAAGGTCATGAATGCTTGCATATTTCTGATATGTTTAGGTCATAGAAATCCTCGCCTTAATTATTATATACTGTACAGTCTTCGGTATCACTTGATCACTCCATTGCACTGATTGCTCTGCTGAGACAAAAGCAATGGTCTGTTTTCATAAAAAAAGCATTTCACTATAATAGAAATAGTAGTGATTTAAAAATGGAGGGAAATCAATCCTGGCAAGCTGGGGACAAGGGGATCATGACAGAGAATGGCGGCAAAGGAATGGGATCCTTGGGGATGATAATCATTTGGATTTGGATTTTTACGGAGTTAATGAATAAAGAGTGCCATGTTTGCTCTAGAAAATTGCGGGTGACCAAGCTGTTGTTGTTATGTGCCATCAAGTTGCTTCCAACTAGGGCAACTTTCTGAATTAGTGACCTCCAAGAGGCCTTGTCATCAACTTTCTCAGCTTTTGCAAACTCGAGGCTGTGGTTTCTTTTATTGGGACAATCCACGATCGGTCTTCCTTTTATCCTCTTGCCTTCAACGTTTTCCAACATCATTGACTTCAAACAAGTCTTGTTTTCTTACGATGTGCCCAAACTAAAATAATCTCAGTCATGTTTGCTTCCAAATATCTTTAGAATTCATTTGAACTAGAATTCCCCCTATTTGTCTTTCTGGTGGTCCATTGTATCTCTCTCCTCCAGCAGCATATTTCAAATGTGTCATTCCCCCCCCCCTTGTTGTTCTCTTATATTTCTTTGCACTGATTATTATAATAGTTCTCTTTGACAGTAC